TTAGGCTATAGGATTGTTATAATTGTTAAAATAATTAATAATCTTTTCTCTTACAGAGAAAATCAGTCTAGTTATTGTAATACCAATCATTTAATAATATTTTTACTACATATACGATTTCGTGAATGTATACGTATAGTATTTTTATTTTTGTATTTCGAAAACAATACAATGTTATAAATGTATTATTCGCAAATAATAATGTTAATACATTTTTAAAACATTTCTCATCATTTATTTGTTGTTCCCACAATTATTTTTAGTGGATAGACTAATTTAGATGAGATTGAGACTGAGTAAGACAGAATCAGAGAATAGTTTAATTATTCAACGAGAATAGTTTAATTATACGACTTTTCGAAATCCAATCTACTTAAGCAATTTCAGAGGTTCGTAGGAATATCCATTATTGAACTTACCGAAACAAGTAGAGCTGCAGCCCGGCGAGAGAAGTGTCTCGAGTCATCGTTCCATCTGGCCTCGAAAATAGACCTGGAACGAAAGGAAGTCAAGAAATAAGTGCACTTCGCTGCTGTCTCGACGAAGAACAAGTCCTAACCATCCAACGTTCGCCGTACCATTACAAAATTAACGTAACACGAATATTCTTGGCCTCTGTCTACGAATCAATCCAGCTTTTATTTATTTTATGCCCAACCGTTATCCTAGATCGCGTATCTGCTGACCTCCAGCCTCTAGTTATTCAAATACACGATCCTGCATAATCTCGTGTAAACAGTTAATCCGATTCCGTTGTTTTACGACCGTGCATCGGGGATCGTCTTTGTGTAACGCTGATAACCGGGCCGTCCTCTACTAACGCAAATCTTCACGCGCAAATCCCATTTTCCAGTGCGCGTATACTCCTGTTCATAAGTTACCAACCTTCAGAATATCATACATTCTCCACAAAACAAACGAAGTTCAACTGATTTAACAAAATTACTAAAGAAATACAATTTAATAATATGCATTTTCTTTTGTAGTATTGTATTGATTAATATACTATAACCAAGCGCTCGTATGAAATAATTAATAATTTTTAATATTCATTATAATCGCAAGAATACTATTGTTATGTTTAATTTAACTGTGTTTTTTCATTAATACATTCATCTATGCCTTTGTTTCATATACTTTATAATATTGTCTGATTGTCGGCTTGTGAATAGGAGTGTACCTCTGTAAAATGAGGTGCCGTAATTCGTATCGCACGCCACATATGCCCGTATCGTTCCACGAGCGATTTTATATTTTGCTTTTAAAATGCGATTTTATGTCCCGAACGAAATTCCGGCTGAGTAATTCTTCGCTTGCGGGTCACCCATCTCTCGTTAATTTTAATAACTTCCCCGGGAAAATGGAGACACTTTACGATCGTCGACCAAGCGCTGTTTATTGCCGCCTGATAAAATAATGACCCTAATTACTTGAAAAACATTGCGCTCGATCGACAAAATTTTGATAAATCGTTGCTACTTGATATCTCGATATCTTCTTCCTTATTTCAGTTCAAAACATATTACACCGCACGAGTTATTAACTTAAGGGACTAGTCACGCGACTTTTCTAACACGCGTCGGTAAAATTTTGACGTTTTTTTTCTATATTTTTTATTCTATACATATATTGAGAAAGAATGAGTAAAATAAAATATATTGTTAAAAATTCTATGTTCATTCCTTATTTAACTCGCGAATGATAACTGACGATTATTTGTACATATATTTACAAATAGCAACGAAATCCGTCGAAATGCACGGCCTAATGCTTACTGACTGCTTCATGGAAAAGTCGAATATTCAAAGAACGCACAAAAAGAAGAAAGACAGAAGAGAGAAGAAAGTGACAGTCGGAGAACGGAAAGGAAAACGAAGCGGATATTTACGGAAAATGTGGAAAAATGAATTAGATATATTATCAGAAGATGAAATGTGATCAGAGAGGACCGGGGTAACAAAGTCTGGCCACAAAATGTCTCGAATGAAAAGTAGTACAATAATAAAATAATAAAATAGAAAGTTGAAACGAAGTAAAGAAGAGAAGACGGAAATACACAAAATAACATGGCAAAGATGAGTCGTTACAATATATTCTTGTTTTCTCCTTACGCCAGCTAAATGGTACATTCTATACTAATGGCTGATTTATTATTATTATTATTATTATTAATAGTTATGATTAAAAAATTCATCTCGGTTAAGGATTTATTATGCAAGAGGCAAATCCTTCTAGTTATAAATCTGTAGAATATGTTTAAAACAATTTTGTGATATATAAAAACGTAGACGAATGAAACAAATTATACACTCGAGAGATGAACATTCTCCTCAGCTTTTTTTATACTCCTAAATCAAACTACATCTCGTATTATGCTAGCAGGAATATCCTCCATTCCCCGGAGTCCTCGTTATAAAGGAGAAACGAACCGGGTAGGCGAGGACTGGGACAGACAAGCAAGCTAGCGCGTAAAGTCGCGCGAGATACGATCCGCAAGACAGAGTGTTACTTCTTATTTCAGGATTTATTGGCTAGTAGAGGTAGGAGGAACGTGTCGCGTTTCCAAACTGGCACGGAGGCGCGCTCGCCTTAAACGCTTACCTCTTGATTGAATGCCAGGAGCGACAGAGGTCGTAAAGTAGGTTTAGAGGCAAAACAGTAATGCCTGTTTCCTTGGCGAGCATCGACAGCGCCCCGAGGCACACGCTACTCCACACGTAAGCCGTCTGCTGCCTGAAATGAGAAAAACCTTATTTAATACGGTTTGGCTATGAGGTTGAAATTATTTCCTAGAACCAGTAATCGAAATCTTCTAATCTTAAACCGACGCTATTTTCTATTTAACCATAAAACAATCAAACAGCTCCTAACAACACTTCACAAAAACAAATACAATTAGTCCACAATTGTCGTGACATAATTAATATACGGTATACCGCAGTTAAAAGAAGTTGTTAATCTCTTGTTATAAAAATTCCTTAGCAGAAATTGGCAAGATTTAGACACTTCCATGGTTATCTGTCATAAATATTATATAACATTTTATCAACATATTTTTTCAATAAATTAAGGCAAAATTTCATAATTTGTGCAATTAATAAATTACTGGATTTCAAGCAAATATTTCATCGCTTTGTACATTTAATGTAACAACATAAAGCTGTAGGACCGTACGTAAAACGTACAATACAGTGAAGAAAACTTATGTACAGGAGGATTTGTGCCCTGTTTGCGTAAACTCCGTCCGGGTCGTAGCGGTGGACTAAGCTTCTGCTTACATATTTTGTCTTTTCGTATACTTTATGTGAATGGGGCGACGTTCGCAACGTGCCTGTAAACAACTCGAGTCTTAAGCCCCTCCTAAGACTCCTGGATAGCCGGATGTATCCCGTGTCTAACTAAGCCTCTGTCGATATACCTCTCTTGCAGTTATTAAAAATTGAATCCAAGAAATTATTCAGGTCTATGAATAGTGCACTCTGGATTTTTATGTATTTATGAAACCTTTATGGTATTGAAAAAACGTAATTCTTTTATGATTTGGAAATTTCAACTTCAGCTTCCTGTATATATTATATCTTTATAGATTCCATGTATATTTTGTGTAACCAATTCTTCCATATATTAGATAAAATCTACTTTTATTTAAAAATTCTTGAACCTCTAATTTGTTTATATCACTTTCCAAACGAGGAGTCATCAAAGAGTATCACAAAATATCAGTTCCTTTATGCATATGCAATTAAATTAAAAGAGGAATACTGAACAATTTGTACAATTTTGAAACGGTAGAATTATACCCAGTGATAAATATTTATTGTATTTTCAAATTTGTGAACTACAAAAGGGGATCCGCGATGAACAGAGTCGATCGATCGAAACGGAAATGCGTATACTATAGCGTTGTGCAAAAGTCGTAGACCATTTACGTTCACGAATTGACCTGATGAATAAAAAATTCAAAGTTGTGTTATCATTATCAAAGTAACTTTTACGTTGCTGTTGTCGATGAGTGGACTTTTAAATATCCACAAAACAGAAAAACGTGTGTCAATTTCATCATAAAAATTGTTATTAATGCACTGGGTCCGACATTAAAAAAATAATAAAACGAGCTTGAATGCATGATAACTATACATTCAATTTTACATATATTTGTGGATCAAGACTCACAAAATACTAGGTACTTTTCATACATTATTTGGAAAAAAAGAAACTGCTTGTTAAATGATTCAAGACTTTTACGCGGTACTATACCTCGTTCGGCAATGCGATTAAATCGGAGAGTGTGTACATGCGACCGTGCGCACAGAGCCAATCGCATCATGAAATCGCATCGCGTTTTTACGAGTAAAGAAATAAATATGTATATTTCGTTGTCAACGGAAGGACTTTATTAAATTATGCATGCGTTGCCAGTGCGCATAGTAGATTTGTCCGGGCTGCGTATACACAGATATACTTGTCCGTGGTAACTGCCATCAGTTGAAAAAAAATTATTTAATACATACATATATGTGAGCCATGTACATATACACATATCCGAACGTTTTAGATTCTAGAACACATTGCAAAATATATAGAACGGGTTGTAGAATGAAATATGTGATGTCCCAGTGGATACTTGTGATATTTTATTTATATTAAATTTTGAAACCTTAACACTAGTAGTTTATTACTAACTGTATATAAATTCTATTTTCACGTTAGGTTAGTCTGCCAAAGAAATATTCTTAAAACATCTTAGACACATTGAGCTGTATACCAACTGGAGTGTGAGTAGCAGTAAGAAGTAAGAAACAATATTATCCTTCTTCTTTTTACTGACTATTTCAGAGCGTGTTACCTTGTAACGAATTTGCCTATGGGGGTACAGAGACCAGGCCAACTGACACCAAATTCATTGTACACATCATAATTAGTAACAATGAAATAGATCTAAAAAGAGAAAGCATGTCCTCTTATTTTCCTTTCTTGACGCAGCTGTTGTTTCGTTCGGAAGAATAATTAAGTACGTGGAGAATTCATTGGACTGGTTTATGTCAAGCACATGCGAGCAAAGTTTTTTGAGGATTTAAAATATTTTCTATCGTCATCGATAATTTCCTTAATAGCACACATTGTATATTGTGTAGGCTTTGTCTGTTAGAGCCTAGGGCCTAGGAGAGATCGTATGCAGCGTCGTACCTGCTCTCCCCCTTTGCCCCGCGTAGGGTCGTAGGTTTTTGCAATCGCGAGGAACCGTTTCGCGACGACATACATATAAATACACGCGAAGGACAGCAGAGTCGGTAACAAGTGCGCATTCAATACGTATCAGCGAATTTACTTATCAGCGAGACGAGATCCAATAAAGCAAAGGTGGATCGATTATAACCGTGTCAATCAGTGAACTATCCTGACTCATTTTCCATTAATCATACATTTTAAGACACTTGCGTCCTACAATTGTGTAGTTTCTCCGATTCGTATTTTTCATTTTCATTTCTCAATAGACGATTTTGTCATAAACTGAAATTCCTAAGGATAAATAGGCAACCGTTCGGCCTAACGGCCCATCATGCGGTGACCTGGAGGAATTTTTCGCGTTCGACCAATCCTTCCAAAAACTCACGTGTTTGGGAACGGCTAGCTCCACCCTCGACGAAATAGGAAAGTTTTCCAAAAAGTTTAGAAACCGCCGATGTGAACAAGAGTCGAGACATCCCCATGAATTCGTTCTAATGTCTACGAGGAACACCGTAGCGTTGTTCTTAGCATCGAAAACATTTGAACCATATGAGCAGAAGCATCCGAAACACTCAACCATTCAAAACAGAATCGTTCACACTTACACAAAAAATATCAACGATATATAATTAATAAAATTGGCATGCAATTCGCTGGACGATGCGACGCAACAGTTGTTATTGCTCTGTTCGGAATCCAATTAATGTGTAATGTAGAACTCAATGCTAAATACTCACTGAATATTGTATTGCAGCGGGTAAAGTACAAAGAAGGAATAAATAAGTTAAACAAAGTATTAATAATTAAAATTATAAGAAGACATAAGTTAATCGACGCATTCTCACGACTCATCAATTCTTTGCTGTTTCTCATATGTTAGAGTTGTATGCCAAATTTCAATAAGAAAGCTCAAGCACAGCTCGGATAGAATGTCTAACAATAAGCCTAATGTCCTTGAACCTATTATAATATTCTGAACTCCTAATCCTCCAATCCAGTATTTCTGAAATGAGCCATTGTAATAAATTGAAAAATAAAACCTATCATGCACAGAAATCAAAAGATGTTATCCAAAAATTCGAAATTAACAAAGACGCTTGAATGAAAGGCGTTAATCAAAGTTAAGTTTGAAACGCGAATTTCTTTTACCTCCATTAAAAATTCTTGAAGATCAGAAATCGTTTTCAATGTAATCATTTGAAAAGAAACGCTGAAATTTAAAGAATAGGAGGTAATGACGCTAATGACGGTAATGAGGATCGTTCTAACGTTATAATTAAAAGTTGGCACAGTTAGACACAAAACAAAATAGTATATTGTGCACCAAGGGCCGAAAATGGGTCTTTCTGGGCGAGGTTGATGTTTGAGCACGAGTGGAAGTCGAGGTCGCCACAGACGCTACCGAGATGAACACGAGCTGCTCAAATCATCATCCAAGTCTGGAAAGGTCGATTCGGCCCGTGTCGCACATCGTATTTTTTATAAAAAGGGCATAAAGAAGACTATTTTTCGTCGTCTACAAAGCGGATCGAGAATATAGTTTGTCGAGTTCTCTATTTGATACGAACTTCATGGGAGTGCAAATATTTAAAAACATATTAGAATCAGTGTGTGTATATATCTCTATTTTCCGGTCCTAGGGCCTGATTCTAATTTGTTTTTATATAGGGCAGGAAAACTCTACTTTCGGTTCAGTTTATAGGCGCCGAAATAGTACATTGTGTACCTAGGGCGCAAAATAGGGCATTCTAGCACTGGCACGAGTGTGAATTTCGCCCTCGCTTCGCTCGGGCGACAAATTCACACGAGTGACAGAATGCCCTTTGCGCCTTGGTGCACATACTATTTTTTGACACGCCGGGCGAGAAATTAATCGATAACAAAAGCCATCGAAGTTGTAATTATATCATTTTCCGTCTTTTCCGCCCTAGGGCGGGAATGTGCTATTTTGCGCCCGCTAAACATGCACGAGAAACCGAATTTCGCGCCCGGAGTGTCAAAAAAGGTCTTTTTTAGGTACGTGTTCTAAAAAAATATTTAAGTTGCAATATACCGGAGAATATAGAAAAGCTGGCCGAATGATCGACTAAATGAATAAATATAGAACAGCTGGCTGAAATAACAATGAAAATATTTTTGAAATTCCCAGTCAAAATAAAGAATATAGAAATCTTATTAAAATCGAGAAACTTAATCAGATAATTCCATCAGTAGCGGAAATTCCAACATTTATTGGTATTTCCATAAATTCAATAACACGAAGGTTTCATTTTTAGCTGAAATATATCAGTAATGAAAAATTGAAATAGAAAAAATTTATATCCTTCTCAAAATATTTACAAAATTCACACTGAAATTCTATTTCTCTGGTAGAAATGATATATTGACGAAAATATCAGAAATACCATAAATGTTCGTCAACACTACCTAAACTGCTTCCTTGATCGTAGATGTCAAAAGGTATTTGACTTGTACAATACTGTGTATTTTGCTTCCACATAGTA